ACGTCCAACCATGGAAATAGCCGAAAACATATTGCTTGTTTTTTTACCAGAGCGGATCGCCAACCAGCCTACCGGCTTGTCTTATTGCTAACAATAATTCCTAAGACACTCATGAAACAAACGAACATGGATAAATAAAGAATCGTTATACTATCATAGGCCCAGCGATATTCAATATGTTTCTAAGGAGAAAAATGGCAGCAACACATGTAGAATGCGACAGTACATCAACTAGAAAGAAAAATAATTTCGTGTAATCGTACAAATTTGTACACACAAAAATACGACAAACAGGGTCAGTAGAAGGTGACATTTCCGGGCACGTTACTGTCTCGTTGTTAGACCGTCTTGCATTGATCAATATCGTTCTCCACCTGTTTATCTATCGTAAAACGTCTCAAATCTGACCTGTACAGGAGCCAAGCAAGAAGTTCATATAACAGGGAGCCTATTGAATAGTCTACAACTTTGCGTTTAATTGTGTAAATAGATTCTCAAGTGTAGTTGTTATTCGCTTGGATGGTCCACCAGTAGTAGATCGAGGAGCACTGGGAATGGCGTCTAGACTGATCATTTGACCAGCCTCCTTGACGACGAATTTGTTACACAAGAGACTTGTGGGTACAAATATGATGATCTCAGAGGGCAATAATATTACATGACTGACGGAAGTCCAGAGTTCACATCGAAATTATTTTGTTGCAAACCTGAATTATATATACATGTCACATTTGGAGTGTCTACCCGCAGGGCGTGGGGGTAGTCATTACAATTCATCTTATGCGGATGTGTCGCCCTTTGAGTGTTTTTTTTTTTTTTTTCAACCAGCTGGTCTTAAATGGGATCCACAAATTTCAGGGATTTGGTCTAAAATAGTATTTTTTCAAACGCTATTTTAACTTTTTTTTTGCATTTCGTGTCATTTTACGGATTTTCCAAAACTGGGGACTTCCCTGTATTGCAGCTATTTATAGTTTTGGTGGAATGTACCCAGAATGTATACATAGTTGTAAGGTTTAAAACAAAGTATATGTATTTACTAAGGTATTTTCGGTCCACTTTTGATATGCAAAGACCGTACTTGAGTCTAAAATGCAGTCTGCTGGACAACTGTTTGGTCTAAAATGGGCTCTGGGTTTTGCCTATACCATATCGACAGTACCCCCGCTCTACCCTTTTTAAAACACCACACCTTTATATGTATACATCTTTCTCTTGCCGATTTTGCTATACACCATAGTGTCTTGTTAAGCATTATCCGCGCAAGTAGCTTGCTCATTGTTTTGATTTCTTTGTGGGTTACAACATCTACAGAATTTCTACTATATACATTTGATTTGATTTCCATGAATTTACATCCATGTGTGGATGTTTATTAATCGACAATTCACAAAATTGCGTCACATGCAAGCAATGGGTAGCAAATTTAAAGAGGAAGGAGGCACTCAAGCCATCCAGTTTTAATAACTAGCATAGTGACAGGGATACAGCACGTTTTCAAAATCGTGCCATATTTGATTTTATTACTATCTTGTATAACAGATAACAATTTAAAAGTACTTACAGGACTATGCTTACCCACCCATGACTACCCAAGTCAACACTTAACAGCCAGACCAAATAGAAAGCAGCTTTTTTGTCGACAGATTTATTTTTAGACATGCCAAATTACAATGTATGCTCTGTATACTGTAAAATGCCTTATTTAGCTGGATTTATGTTTCGCTGAAAATACATTTTTGGTGCTTTGTATGGAATTTATTTTCACTAATTTTTGACAATTTGAATGTAAAATATAGGAAAAAGGGTATATTCACTGGATTTTATTTTCACTGAATCATTTCTTCAGCAAAAATAGCGAAAATGTATTCCAAGCGAAAATAAAGTATTTTACAGTATTATGTTTCAACTAAACTAAACATTTCTTCAATCTAGCGTGACCGTGACTACACAGTGTATATTGTTATTCACACGGTCATTCATATAGATTCGTACAACTCGCATGAATTTCTGTCATGAAATGTGAAACCAATGATACGAAGCATGACTAATTGTATTCCCATATATGCAAGAATTCAATGAGCATTCCTATAGCAACGTATCTAACAACTGTCAAGGAATGTCTTCATTAAAAATGTATTAATCATTCAAATTCCCAGTTGTTATGGTAATGCTGAAATCTGTAGGCCATTCTGTCAAATGGCTAGACATGGTAGATTATTTAACATCTCAAATGAATTCACAAAGAAGCGTTGTATAGCATGCCATCGAGGCATCTCTACTACACGCCTCTAAAGACATATGGTAAAGAATAATTGGTATTGAAATGTAAGCTTCAATAGAGGTATACAAAACACTATTTGTGGGAAATATTCACACTCGATATATCAAACCAACCATACAATTAAACACACCATTAGTGCCCTGATTGCTTCTTTAGATGTAAGTTTTGTAAATTCCGATTTCAATCATAATATGATAATCTTATATCAATCATCTTTGATATATGTGAGGGTACCACATTGGAATATACAGCAACAACAACAAAACTTCATATGCACATAGCTTTGCCATACACTGCGACTATACAACAGAATGATGTTAGTAAGTTCATCCTTAATTATCTGCCCAATATAGTTCATCTTTGTAGTTCAATTTATTTACGGTGACATCCTTGTGTAGATACCCAAGAGAGATTCCCCTCCTTCTATGTCAGTTATATATATTCCCTCGATTCAGAGTCAGGTTTTATACAAACGTGTCCAGTACGATATCTTTCTGGCCTCGGGGAAGTGTCTCAGTGCATACATGGACTCTGCAAATGTAAAATGCAGTTATTTATGTATAATAGATATCAGCGTAGATGGTGTTAACAACAATCGGCAGTTGTTATCATCCAACATTTGTCCACAGTATAGAATACACTGAAAACAGCAAGTACTTGAGCATGACAATTTTAGTTATATTTTAGGAACACAATTGGCAATGTCTTTGTCAAATATACAAGCCTATTAAATTAGTGTCCTCAAAGAGATCATCATACAGAATTCAATTTACTCGTACAGTAGATTCTGCAATAAATCCAATTAATTCCCGGGTCTTCGTTTCACTAGTGATCATTAAAAAGTATATTTTACCTTTTAACATATTTCTGCAGGTATCTGTCATATTACCTATGGGTGCTTCGTACATTACAATTAACCAATCAAGAACCTTTGTGAGGAGAGAGTAAAAGAAAATTAAACATACGGAGATAAGAAAATGCATCACATTGCAGTCTTTGGGCAATGTTGTTTTGTAGAAAGCAATCACAGACAGTTACAAATTGAACATTGCGCAATGCTAGGCTGGGAATATCTAGAACGTGCACTGGCACATAAACGATGAAAGAAATGAAACAGATACAAATGCAACACATTATTACAAATTTCTGTGTGTTTTTTTGCATTTGTTTAGATACTTATTGTTCTGCAAATAAAAATTATTTTGAACTGAGTAAAAGAAAGAAAAGTCACTGACAGGTGTCTAAATCAACAACAAATTTTGATAAATTTGTATTTTTTGGGTCTATAGCCAGTATTAAAACGACCCTGAACATTGACAATGAACGAATTCACCACTAGAGTATGCACATTGGTCTTGAAATCAGTTTTATGTTTATGCAATAGGTGACTGAAATAGAAAAAAAAATATTTTCCACAGATTTTCTTATTGGACTATGACTTAGATAAAAATTTAGTTTGGAAAAAAGTGGCATCCAGCCAGACGGGACGAAAATCTATCATCAGTCTGCTGTTACTGTCATCAGTGATTATCGCAGGACAGCTGTCACTTTCTCATTTACCTAATCCCGACGAGAATAGGCAACTTTCGCCTATCTTTAATGTTTTAAAAATATTATTTTGTTGTTTCAGTTTTGAAGGAAAAAGCGAGAGAATACTTCTGGATGTCTTACTCAACATTATGAGGCTGTTAAATAGTATGTACAAAATATTTTTTGTTATTTTAATACCTTTTCAGTGAGTTCAGCCCATGGTTGCTTTGAAAGTAGACTGCAGATTGCTAAGGGTAAATGAACGCTCATTTGTGAGAGTATCAGTTCTTTATACTTTTCATTTCCAATAAACATGTGGACAGGTGCGCTTGTCGAAGGAACAGATGACAAACTCGAAGCAGCGTCTCTCTCATATGAAGATGCCAACCCCCTCAGGCAGGATGTGAATCCAGTTGATAAGACAAGCTCTTTTGTACTCCATACCACAACCGCAGTCGTAAATGCGTACATCATGAATTGCGTTGCCTAAGAACAGAAAACTCATTACTTATTATATGCCATTGCAAGTACACTAGCCTGGAGTGTACACAAGATGCGCCGCGGTGAGAGAAAAACGGGAAATTACCAAACCAATCAAATATTTGCTGTGAGTTATAATTTATTGCATTAACTCACAAGGTTATATCATACTGGAAGTTAAGATAAACCACATAATTATTAAAGCTTTAGCAGAATGAAAATCTATCGGAATAAAACCAATTAATTTACTGTGTCATCCAATCAAGTGTTAGTTATACATGATTTGCTTTCATATAGATGCATTCAAAGTAATGAATATACTTCCTAACTGCAAAGCAAGATCATTACACAAAGAAATGCATGGCAGGAACTGTGTGGAAATGAGAATTTCCTTTTCACTACATATGAATCTAATAGATCTGATCACATTATTCTGCCAGTGTTGAATTGTTGTCACTTTTATAAACATATAGAAAGCTAGCTTATAAATGAAAGATATTATAAAACACATCTAATGCCATATATTATATTACATTGCATTTACTGTTTTAAGCTAAGTATCATTGCTTCAAATAAAGAATATATTGCTGGTTTCAGTCACAGTGAAATCATGGATATCCATTAACCAGATTATAAACTGAAGATGACTGCACGTGTTTCATAAGTACAGCACTTGACACAGTGTGATGATATTTCGTTCTTGTGTATGAATAAACTGATAATATCAAATCACAAAAGTACTGCAAAATGTGCACAAAGGCAGTAACAGTTCAGAACGATGGCAATCAGAAGTCAAGATAAAATAAAAGTGTAAATTAATCGCTTTATTTCTAGACATGGAAACAATCATATTAGAACTATATATCAAACTAATATGAAGTGATGAGACTATGATGGTTCCCATGACGATCACTGTATGATTTTGTACACAGTGATACAATATACTTGCAAGGAACACTGTCAGGTTAAATTACAACTCTGGTATACATTGCACAAAATACAAAGACGTACTCTTACGATGATGAAGAACTATTGAAACATATTCTGAATGGTCTACGGGGGATATTGATTAAATGAACAGCAAGGTGCAGGCCAGGATTGTTTGAGACACTGATGTAATAGGAAAGTATATAATAATCGCCAATGCATGGGTTCTATACAGAAACAACAAAACTACAATGTAGATAACAGAAGAGAGACGACAGAGTCATGGGTGTAAAGGTGTAAACATATTACAGACAAAACACTGAAACATCTGATCTGGTTTATTACATACATAGTGGCAGGGGCATATATTAGATAATTACCGACAGAAAAATGTTTGTGAAGTTTATATCATGGAGTGTGCGATATGAAAATAGTGATTATCCCTATATATGTAGCATTCTCCAAAGATACGTCTTCCACAATGAATAAGCTGTTTTGTGTGAGACTGAATTAATAAAACGATGTATATGCCTCTTTACTGGGGGAGAAGGTCGACAGTGATCTGAAGCTGTGATGTACTACATGTAATTCTGCAACTGCATCAATGCAGAATAGGTTGAGATGCACCTTTTTATGGACTTTTTTATTGAAAGTCACTTTTTGCATATATTTGCATATATGGGAATATGGGTAATTGTTTTATGCTCTGAAATTTTGAATATATTGTCTTTCAGAGGAGCATAGTCGAAAAATGAATCAAAAATAGTTGCATATGTTTTGCATAATAAATAAGGCACGCTAACAAGTTCAAGGATTTTCTTCATATGCCAATTATTCCACCTACTTAAGTATAATTTTATTGAACAATTCTGTGAAGAACTGGCGTAAACTTGTTTTAATTTCATCTAGGAATGAGAGACTGTAAATTTAAGCAAACACATTTAACTCACCATCCTGTGGTTGGTAACTTTCACATCTGTTACCTTTTCATATGCCACATTCTTTGCATGCCCCATCAACTCCAACAACCACTGCATGCTCTGCTCGCTTGGGTATGAGACCAACTGGAGGAGAGATGCCCCCAACAACCAGATGACCTGTAAGTGGTGACCTAGCTCCTCAGTTCCAATTGTAGCATCAATGCAAGGATTTAGCCATGTTATTGCCTGTTTTCTTTTTCCACATATGTAGCATCTCACAAAAGTTGCTTTCAACAGATTACCCTGCATGCATTGCAAAATATGAAGATTATTCTATGCATTTAAAAAGGTCCATAAAAACCAAACGTTAGAAATGGTGTCGATAGTAGGGCAAAAAAAGTACAACCATAATGGATGTATAAATAACATTATTCACCCATTTAATATGATCAATGAATACTACAAGAACTTTAGCGCAACTTGTGATCTGTGGTCTTGCCTTAAATAATGCCATCAATATCAATCAATAGAATCGTCTAACAAGGAAAGCAACTATTGATTTCACTTTCAGAATTTAAAAATATCTCGAAATGACCTTTCAGTCGACAGAGCACTATAAATCATATAGATAGTGAAGGTAAAGAAAGATAAATACTGATTTACACACAGGGTCTAACATCACCACCACTACTTTCACATCCTGAAATCAGATTATTATCAGTGTTCTCCCCAGAAAATAAGAAAGCTTAGAATTTAAGAACTCCAGTGTCCTGAGGGGTATTTGAGACATATGAAGTAGAAATTGGTTATATGTTGGCTAATATAAACGGTACAAGTTCCCACAACTCTAACACTAACTTTTCCCCTGCCCCATTCTAATTGTATATGCTCCCCTTTCAGACATGTATAGTTACTGTACACATTGAAATAGCTACATGCTATTTTAGTGAATTTGACTCAATACATGAATTAACAAAATCCTAATTTAGCTAAAACACCAACAATCTCATTGCGAGAATATACTTTATTCTAAATTAGCGACATCTTAAATTAGCAAAATTACACCTTAGCTAAATTAGCTAAAATGATATGCTAGCTAAAAAGACGTGTTTTACAGTATCTGGAGGGTCATTTTGTCATTCTAGTTGTGTACACTATAGTGTCAACACTATACTGGATGAATATAAAACTATGCACATTTATATACACCCAACATTGCATTTACAATCGACAGTAGCTACTATGTGAAAAGGGAGATTTAAAACATTTATGCATGTATGTATCCAGTGATTTTCATATTCATGCCTGGCGATTGCAATCTTTCCAAAAATACATAAACAAAACCTACTTGCGATGACCTGCATGATTTAAATACACAACCGAGAAACAATAACTCAATCAGTACAGTGCATTGTCAAATATCAATCACGGTTGTTGTTTTTATAACTAAATATGAAAGTAACTGACATAAATAACACATGATGTACAGCAATTGAAATGTAGATACAATAACAGGACTAGAAGACCATGGCATCACTCAGTATTATAAATGACACTACCGTAGTAATATGCAATTTACGATGGAGAGAACGAGTTAGGAAAGCATCATTTGGTAAATCCACAATGACATTCGAATTACGCAAATCAATTCACTTTTGATTGAACCGGCAATTCACAAATATCGAGCCATATTACAAGTAAAAAAAGGCTATCAAGATTTCAATTTAAAGCAACTGTTCAAAGTTAAATTACCTTTTGGGAGTTCTATGCATGTCATGATCAAATATTACGTGATCGTATAAACCTCTAAGGTGACCTTTATATCTGACAGGACAAACACCCAGAATGCTTTTGTTCATTTTAATGAACCAATCAAAGAAGTTGGGAAGGAAATTAAAACTTGACTAAGTCAGTTTTGAGTCATGTCTTCTATTGTGGCACAGGAATCAATTGTACAATTTAGAGGGACACATCATCACAGTTAAAAATAATCTTATTAAAATGTGACGTACTTTACAGGCTTGGTTTGACAAAGAAATAGGTCATGTCTTGTCAAACTGCAAAACTTCAGCTGAGTCAAAGCATACATATATACACAAGGCAAAGTTTGAGAGGTTGACAAAAATCACAGCAAACAAGCTTTTTCTGATTGTTAAGTGTTATGAATGGGCAGCCAATCAGATACAATCTTATTATTTGCTTTGCATTGACATTAGTTAAGAAGAACACAGAAATTGCTCATTATTTACTTATTATTAATTTATGAAATCAGCCTATAGGCATCTAGCATGATTGGAAAAATAAATTGTT